CTCGGAAATCTATATGTTTAAAAATATACAGGGTGTTCCATTTAAGAAATGTAATCTTTGGCGTGTCCCGTTTTTACTCATCGCCCTGTATATTTCAAATTCAATTTGTAGTTTAGGTTTTTTCATTCTGTACAACTTTTATATAAACTTTTTTTCTGTATTATGAGTTATTTTACTTTCTCACACTAATGGCCCACCCTGTATATGGGCAGTTTTGATCGAATAACTTTGCTCTAGTGGTATCAAATTCTGTGACCCTGACACCCAAAATTAATTTTTTATTTGAGATAGAAAAAAAAAAGTTGAAATTAATAACTCCTTGCGTCAGTGCAATCAGTCAAATGGATGATTTTATGAACACTTCTCGCACTATGTGTAAGTAAACCAGCAAATTCAGACAAGCGGAAATCATAAGATGCGCATAGCCACATAGCAGATCGCACATCGTTTTCAGTCTGCGGAAACCCTCCACAATTCGCCAGAGACGTATTTAAAAATTTCACCGTTTGGAAAGGATGTTGAATTTATCGTCTTCTTAATTAAAATACAAAATGTGAACCTTTCTTTAAATAAATCTAATAAGGAATATTTGTTGTACAAACCTTAAAATATTTAAAAAAACAGATATTTGGATTAAAATATACCAGAACGCGTATGCGCTGTTATGAAAGCGACTAAAATAATAATTAATAAATTATTGTATAAGTATTAATTTTTAATTTTTATCTATTCCAAAAGTTTCCATTATTTTAAAATTCCAGGTACTTTTTTCAATTTGTTATATATTTTTTCAAAATAAAATTAATTGTCACAAATATATTACTTCATTATTCTCTAAAACACACAGATTAATGCGCTAGAAACATCCTATCAATTTAAATATTACATTGATTAGTATTTTATTAACAAAATCATCAATTAATCAGGTGGGAAATTTTGTCATTCGTTGACGGGAAAATTAATAAAGTACATTATGGAAAATTTTCTCAAAATTTACGCTGTCAAGTTAAAATTAATAACAAGGTACTGAAATTAGTAATTTTTTATTTACCTGAGATGTAAGTGGATATCATTTAATCTCACTTAATTGACCTATCAGCATTCGAAATAGTTGAATCTCGCGTAAATTAAACACAGCTCACAAAAAATGCTTTAAATGATATCGTGATAATTTATACAGGATGTTCCACATAAGAGAGATTCTTCTGTAACTATAACTGTAAAATTTATAATAAAATGGTTTTAATAAAAGTTGTCTGGAATCATGTGGGCCATGTAAAGAAACTATTTTTAGCTTTACAGGCTGTTCTATTTCGCGCGGACGCTACATAACTTTGTTATTTTAAATGGAACACCCTGTATATTATTGGTTAATATTAGGTAGAGTTTATTAATTGTACATGGTGCATGGTGTTTAAAACTTACCGTTTTCGAAATAATCAGTTGTTTTTTAAAAAAAACACAATTTCAGCTGTCTAAATCAAGCTACAGTTTTCACAGTTCGTTTTGGCATAAATTACTCTATCTTGCCATCTGTGAGCAAAACGTGTACGTTATTCAGACTCGGAAATACTGAGACCTACATTTAATAATCTTACGAGTTTAATTTTTTTTTTTTTTCAAATGGAATGACCCATATTAATTGACATGTGTGAATACAAAATTGAATGCTCTTTCGACTAATATAAGATTGTCCCTACTTATCTTTAATAGTTTTCCAGAAAAATCGGGTTCTTTTCTAAAGTCTGAAAAAGCAGTAGCTATATAACAGCGTCAAGAAGGCCTTGCAAAACCACTTTTCTCTCATATTTTATCAAGCCTGGTACTGACAGTGTCAATATTTACTAACATGTTTAAAAAGCGGTTTTACAAAGAACCAAACGCAAAACGAAAGAAACTGAAACTCGGAACACAACAAGGAGAAGAATACTTAGACCGCTGATTTACATCAGTTGCTCGAAGTGTCCTCCATTTTGATTCATACACAAACGAATTCGGTTTTTAAAAGACTGTTCAACATTGGTTAGCATGTCTGGCGTAATTTCTTGAAATATGCTACTGTAATACGCTGCCATATATCTTCCGCGGTAGTGGTGGTGTAACTTAAACTTTGCTTTTTATAAATCCCCATAAAAAGAAGTCGCAACTTGTCATATCTCGACACCTTGAAGGTCAACTCGCTGGTCCCTCACGCCCAATCCATCTGTCGGGAAAAGTTTCATGTAAAAACTGACGAACCGCAGCGGTATTGTGAGGTGGAGCACCATCATGTTGCAACCACATTCTTCGAAGTGTAGCTAATGGAATGTCGCCTAACAAATATTCTAGTGTTTGTTAAAAATTTTAAATACACTGCTCCCGTTAGATACTGGTCAAAAAAGAATAGTCCAATGACATGGCTTTCCAAAATTGCTCCAAAAGACCATCGTTGGTTATGAGTTGTCCGGAATTGGTGAAGATTTACTGTATCATAATAATGGCAATTATGACTATTAACGAAACCATTTTTATGAATAGTAGACGCATCGGAGAACGTGACCCGTTTAAAAAAATCATCATCTTGATTTAACCCACTGACAAAACTCCAGTCTTCACTGAAAGTCTACTTTTAGTAACTCTTAGTGTAATTGGATGCGATAATAAGGATGTGCTGTGCTTTTGTAAAATCCTGTATATCGACGGTGTACTAATACAACAATTGCAAGGCCTTCTTGACGCTGTTACATAGCTACTTTTTCGGACTTTAGAAAATAACCTGATTTAGAAATGTCCAACTTTTGACCACGTTTTGACCAAGTTGACGTTCATGGACTCTCAGCAACACTCTCACGAACTGTTTCGAAGTTTTGTTGAAGGACGGCCAGGATTTTTAGATCACTAATTGATCCAGGCTCCCTGAATTTTTCTATTATTTTCTTCACAGTTGATGAAAGTTAAATCACCATTCCGACCATATTTTGTACGAAAATGGCGAACTGTAACTGCCAAACCTTCATTATTTTTAAAATATTGCTCAACATTGAAAACCCATTGTTTTTTGGTAATCTATTTTTGATAACCTTGAACTGTCAGCACCAATCGCGCAAAATTCAAATCTAGCGTGAATTTTGCACACCCGTTATATGTATACTTTTTTGTAAAATACATAATGGTATTTAAAGAAAATTTCTTTAGTATTTCTGAGGTTATTGTAAGATATAGGTACAGACTTCTCTAATATATTCAAGGCCCAATCCTAAAATAACTTATTTTAGTACCTACCTATTGAATTAATAAATTCGGCACCAGGTACTATGCGTCTCTGTAGAAGATATAATAGGGTAGGTATTGTGTAACAACTTTTGGTATAATACAAATATAATTCAATAACATTAAACCACCAATTTGTATGTATAAACGAAAGGGAAAATCAAATAATTGAGATTGATGGTACTATTACTTAATTATATTTGTCACGAACACTTTATTTTACGAGAAGTTGTACTATAAAATATTTATTTAATCATTCAGATGAGAATGGGGTTGGTATAAAATTAGCATGGAACTTAGTAAAATAATTTTGTTAGAAGTTAGAATAATAACATTTTTTTAAAGAAGTTTGTACGAAAATAAGAAAGACAAAGTCAAATTGTTTTCTCACTGTGGTTTTTTAAATTCTTTTAAAAAACTTCTAGAACGAAAAAAATTTTTCTCATAACCTTGCAAGGTATTTTATTTCTGTGGTAAAATTGACGTATTTAAAAAATTGTGCTGTTGTACGACTTCCAAATGTTTTTACATAATTTTCCAAGAAACCAGCGTAATATCTGACATTAAAAATAGGCAGAAGGCATATCAAAATTTTTACTTTAGTATAGTGGTATATATTTTCGATTTCGAAAGTAGTCCAAGTCTCAAAATAGAGGTGCATTAAAGAACCTATTTTAACGAAAATACAAACAAAAGTTTTCGCTCGAGGTCGCGCTAAGTATCGGGCAAGTGCAGCCGTTCCTATTTTTCACAATACACAGAGGCGTAGGCATCAATTTCGTCGAAGGGATCAACGTCGAATACAATAGATTCGAAAATGAAAAAGATCAAAGTGCGATCTTTAAAATTTCTCTTTATTTTGAATGCTTTAAAAATGTATTCATTAAATTTACTGAAAAAATTGTATACTTTAGAAAATATAGGACAATTAATTTGGGCATATAAATTGTAAAAAAAGTTATATAGCAAAATTTTCAGTTACTGGGGGTTGCTGGCTTCTCGTTTATCCTTGTAGCAGAAATAGCCTGACGTAAAATAACCAAGAAAGTCGCGTTTCGTTTTTATTAAGGAGTTGGGGGTTGAAATACCCCCTGAACACCCGCCTATGTTTTTCCGAGTTCTGGAAATGATACAGAAAACTAGAAGAGGACGATAATTACCTGGTAGAAATGGGTCACCAGGTGGATTGGTACATGGCCAAAGATATTTACTTCGTGAAAAATTACCGTCATAAAAAAAGTTGAACTCGACATTATTTTTATATGGGTTACCTATATTCTCAAGATAGTTCATGATTTGGCGAAAAAAACAAATCTTAGAATTTTACTATTGGCGTTTAATATGCCGTAGGTGTAACTTATACAATACCACATTTGAGTATTGTTTTATTATGGCCTTAACCAATTTTTTTTTATATTCCTCCAGAATGTTTAAGAGTTAAAAATTGCATAAAAATACTTGTAAAGTATATAATCAGAAATTTAAGCCAACTTGGAGAATATTTGTATAAAATAAAAATAATTAATTACGAGATGTACAGGTTCTTTTACATGTTTTCTAACTCTTTTGTCGTATTTATGAAATTTTTAAATTTTTCTGGAATGTTTCTGTTGTTAGTCATATCTTCTTCAGTTCTGCAATTATCCTGATGATTCAAACAAAAACCGAAACAATGGCAACTTCGTTTAAGCGAAGTTTGTAGTCGTCAGAGGCAACTTGATCGGGTGGTGTACGAAATAAAACTAGGTGGGCACGTTTTTTTAATAAAATTTACTTAAATTACGATACCTACAGTGTTACAATTCAATTTACATATCTAAGAGTTACAAGTATTTCCGACAAATGAATGTCTTAAGATTATTACAACTTCCGTTGCTGACTGGTTGCTTACTCTGAAAAATACATTTCATACTCATTCATGGTTCTCGGGCTTAAACGGTATGGTACAACTTAAACAAGACGGTTCTGAGGGCATTAATTTCCATACAAATATATATATATATATCGACACGGTAAGCAGGAGTCTACCTTTCTCCAGACACAGATCGGATGGTATATTCAAAGGTAACGGTTATAGAAAAATGGACAGAATCGTAAACAACCCAACCAATCGAGAGTTTTTACGAACATAATCTCACAATATTGTTTTCAGTCGAGTAGGAAGGCCATCTATGCCATTTTCGAAAACTCGTAGACCCCAAACTTCAGAGTCGTTTATACAAACAGTCTTTAATGTAACTGTAATAATTATGTGAGATTACGTGGTACAGCAACAGAAATGAAAAGTAACAGTTATAAAAAATATCACATATGATTTTCAGTATTTTTTTATCACTGGTTCTTAATACAGGGGTTTGTAAAACCTATGGCCGGTATTAGGCCTTGACTTGTGCCCTCTAGACTTTATAATGGGCTTGAGAGTTGAATTAAATAAAAATTATATTAAAACTCATCAATTTCATGAATCACAAAACAAATATACTTATAAACATTTTAAATAATATTACATACAGATTTAAACCGACTATGGGTTTTTTATGCTTGGGCCGCTTACGTTTCCTTTTTATATACAAGTAAATTTATTGTGCGAAACATCTCAACACGTGTAACAAAGCGAGTTCTCAATGCGTAAAGTTGTGATTTAAAAAGAGTTCTCCGAACTGTGTCCGTCAAGAAGGCGCGGCCCCCATCTAGGAACCCATCGGATACACAATGTTACACACACGACCGCAAATCGTAACAGAAAATGCAAAAGCAATAATAAACAAGGTTTTTATTAAATAAAAAAAACGAAAAATTTCTCAGGTATAACCTAACTTCTCAGTTGCCGTGAGATCTTAAATAAAAAAAGTAGAGGAGAAAACGGTTGTCATATGATGATCGGGCAGCGTCGATTCTGGAAGTGTTAAAATTTCTCTTTGAGACGCGAGATATATATAAACACATTTTGTTTGTATAAAAAACTACAGAGAACGACATACAAAAAATCGGCAAATTTTAACAGCTCTAGAATCAAACCATTGGTGTAATTGTTTTAAGGTTTTATTGTAATACGGTCATTATACTAACATTCCTCTTGTTCTTGTGACTTCCGGACGCATCTTGCCACTTTTCTTTTAAACTCCGAATACGATTCCCTCCACTCTTTCTGTAACAGAGAACACACGCCTGTCAGTCACACCACAGCTCTAACGGAACAAAATTTCGCCATGGAAATCACCAATATACTAACATAACCTCAAATTAATTTAAAACTGACATATAGAAACAAACGAAACATGTGCTTCACTTTTCCATGGCCTGCTGCATTACTTTAACAATTAAAAGAATTGACGTTTGATGCAAACGCAGCGAATACAACACACTATTTTACGAGAATTCAAATGTTCAACTTACAGCGGCGTCCACATTGGCCGGTGACTCGTCGTTGGGATCGGCTAACATTGAGATAACTGAAATTAAAATAGTCTCTACTGTGTGCACGGGCAACCACCGTTCCGAGGCTTTTTCGTAGCCAAACTTGTCGTCGCCTGGCTCGTGCAGAATCGATATACACACATCGCCGTTTTTATCAACTGCGGAACAAACAAGAAGTTTCAGTTAAGTGAATTGAGAATATTATAGTTAATGATTAAAACTAATCGATAGATGTTAGGAAACTTATTGTTAAGTTGTATTATAAGTGTGCACAAACTTTACTTACTATTAGGATGCCATATTTCTGTGACAAACTTCATTTTTGGGGGCCTAAGTGGGTATTCTTTAGGAAAATAGAGGTGGCATTTGAAAAAACCTCCTTCACTGAAAGAAAAACGGACGTTTGGATTAATGCATTCACCGAAGCAAGAAATCGGTACTACTCGTCATATGAATTATGCAAACAAGGATTAGCAAAGTCGGTAATGTGTAATGAGTTGCATTTTCCAAGGTATAATTTTAATCTTTACACTCTAAACATCTTTAAAGATATTTTGTCACCATATTCGTTATCTTTAGCATAATTTTGGACCATCCTGTCATTAGATAAGAATAAATACAAGGTCAGTGCCTCCACAGCACTGCTACGAACATAACCTCAAATTTTTAAAACATGTACTAAATGATGCAATATTTCACTTTCATTTTGGATTCGGACTTGAATAAATTGCAAAACATTAATTAAAACTTGATATAATGCAGAAAAATGGTGGTTTTTATTTGTACTTACTAAAGCGTATCGGGAGGCCCTATTATAAGTACTTCCCATCGGTAAATGTCATTATCATCTATAAGGCCTGCAGAAAAACCCTCAACGGGGTTCTTGTTCAATTCTGAAAGAAGAAAATCTCGGATGAGTGCATTAATCCTAACGTTAGTCAAGGTCAGAGAAAATACTAGTATCCCTGACAAAGATAAATGTCTAACCTTGTGTATAAATAAAAAATTGTGCAGGAAGTGTATTGTAAGGACTATTTCGCAAGTAAAGGTTGAGTATGCTAATGAATTTTAATATTTATGCGTGTCGGAAGAGCCCCTGGACCGGTTGATGTGGGATTTGTTTTTTTTGCAAAAAAAAATGTGTGCACACCATTTATGTTAAATTCGACCACGGTTTTCTTCTAAATCAGCGATTTTCCCGTTTAAACGCCTCATATAATTAGTAAACAAAAGGGGCTGATTCAAAATAAAGGTGTGGTTTTCGCGAAACGAGGAGGTATTTATTAAATTTAAGAGGTTTGCATAAATTTGACATGCATGATGAGAAAAATTTAGATATTGATTTTCATGCCGAACCGGGCCTATTTATGACGGCTGTGCAAGAAAGCCGGTACGGTTATGCGAAAATAACGAGTTGCGACTATTTTTGGAAAAGCCAGACGGGCATATTAAAAAAATCGAAGTTGTACGAGGACGTTTTCAGATGCAAAATAGCCCACCTAGTCCACATCGATATTTAAGCTGTCAAATAAAAGGCACAAATAAATCGTGTTTACTAACCTGCTAGCTGTTTTCTTAATAGAAGAGCTGACTGTGGTTCTGACATTAATTACAAATTTAATTTTGATATTAAAATTATCAAACCAAACACTGTTCTCTAAAATGGCCGGTGTCGTTCCTAAATGTTGCGGACCGCATTGAATCAAACATATGTTATTTCCGGAATGGTTTGCTGCTCCACTGTTTTAAACGTCAAAATTCACGTCGCCATCTACCTTGCAGGGTATAAACTCTCCCGCCATGCTTCAAGATCGTAACGTCGACGGTTAGCTCAAATTAATGTCAAGTCTACTCGTTAACAATTCCCGTTATGAATTTGTATTTGTACATTGTATTTATTTGTTATTGAGAACGGAAGACTAAATTTAAATTTTTTATTTCTAAGTAATTATAAAATAGTTGATTTATAAATATTTTTGGAAATCTACTCGAGCGACATCTTGTATCTAAACGTTAAACTATTCGTGTCTGAGAACGTGGCATTACAGGAATCAATATAACTATTATAGGAATCTATCACAAATGCCATCTTATAGTTGAAGGTTCAACTACTTCTGCCTGACTCTGAAATTACAGAAATCTAAACCATCTTTTTAAATAAGTTTGTGGATGCTATCGCAAGATCAAGATGGCGGGATCAGTTTAATTTACATTACAATATTTTGTGGTTAATATTTTTGGTAAGTAAAATATCAAAAATAAATTAGTATTTATGCACTAATTCAAATAGAATTTTGTATTACTGTAAGGTAATACAAAGTGTGCAAATTTTATAATATTTAGATTTTATCAAAAATTTAAAATTCTTTTTTCTGAAGATATTTAGGTACATATTTAGTTACAATTATTATTAAATGTGCCATCTGATATATTATTTTAGTTTAATTAATTATAATTTTAAGAGTACATATATGAACACACTTGGTTTGCCTCTGACAGTTGTTCATCTTTCTTTAATAAACCCCTTGGAGGGGTTGCTGCTTCCTAAGCTCGTAATAAAATATTCACCGCATCCTTTAATACAATTTGGGGTAAACACTCAATATTCAGTAAGGTTTGACGTCTCTGCCGACGCTTTAATAAATAATTCCGCGGTAATCATAAAAGTTTGGCCACAAGTCAGGGCAAGATTGCATACGGCTGAATATTTTTACTTATTTATGAAACACGGAATTTCTTATTCGCCCTCTCTTTACCTTTTTCCATGCTTTTGTATTTATGAGCCTTAGAGACACTTGGAGAGGAGTGGGCCCGATACATTTTTCTGGAGTTTACTTCATCGTAAAAGTTTTAACGTGAAGCTTAAATCTTCAATTCTTAAAAGTTGGTTTACTATGTTGCTACTAAATAATTTATATTAAGTAGCTCTCAAATTTTTATTCTTTTAGGGGAATTTTGTTGGAATACAGACAAATGAAACTCCGCCTGTTAAGATTTCTGTTTATTTAATACAAATGATCATAACACTCACCCGCCACACCAGTCTCTCACCATTGTTTGACATTTAACAATTAATCTTTAATATAAACACCCTAAACGTGGCTCGTCCACTTAGGAGCATAAAAACTAATACGCTCGTACAAAGAGTTTCGAAATTTACAGGAAAATGTATTTACAGGTAACATATGTCACGTTGAAGGACCGACATTTACATTTAATATATTTGTTGTTGCTACAGTCCCTTATGTTTAACGTACTCTATGTACATCATTTAGGTAAGAACTAGTTGGTAGACTTTTTATACAGACTTTAATAACGCAGAGGAAGCAAGTAGGATTCTTTAAAAAAAAATGTACCATATCTGAGGCTAGAAGACATTAAAGCATATAACGCAAGAGATCTGCGTCGACACGGGTTTAGTTACAGTAAAAATAGGTTTATTAGGGACAGTACTTAGAATAATTTGCTTCTGTGAATCAATTTATATGTAAGATGTTTTTGAATCGATAGTAAACAGATGAAATCCTTGTAAAACTAATTTTTTCCTAAATTTGGTGAGGTTTTGACTACGTATTTAGTCTTTCTTAAGGCGATACCACTATAAAAATAAACTTACATTAGTGGAGATAGTGCAATAAAAGTTTCCTTCACACGAGGGAAAGTAACTTCATTATTTTATTATCTTCACAGACGTAAGACTTTTTATCGTGGAATAGCCTTGGGAAAGACCAAATACAAATGATTACAAGCTATGTCACTGTCGGATTCATGCAACCAACATTGCACGATTGGCATTGTCAGCTAAAATACCTAAATCATCAATATTAATGATTCGTTTACAGTGAACAATGACAAACCGTTGTGTCTACGCTCGAGATAATGCGATCGCTGACTGGTTGAATAAAATGTGAAAAATTACGCCAATCATTCGCCAGTAAAACAGAACGTATTTTATGTAATCCTGATCTTATTGTTTAATAATTTTTAATTTGACGGAAATTCCATTGCCAGTGTGAAGGAAATAAAACTGCTGTTCCAAACAAAATTAATTATCACGTGGCTTGTAATCATTTATGAAGGCTCTACAGGGTGTATCACGAAGAGGGTCTAGTACGATTATCTCAAAAAGTAGTCAAAATTGAAATCTGAAAATTTGCATACAGGGGTCTCTATTCAACGAAAATAGTGTCAATAGTGGGACCATGAATCCCTGTTTGTTTTATTATGACACGGTGGCAACTCGATTCAAGTTCTTCCTCATAAATCTATAAATGTACTTTATATAAAAAATGTGATCAAACATATTTTGAAGTGCATTCTTTTGGATTTAAATATCTAGAATGTTACGAAAACAATGATAAGTTGTTTGTAATTTGATAAACTCTTAATAATATTTATTTTTTACGTTTGGCCTTCTTTCAACACTTTGTATTTTTAGTCCTGTACTAAGGCACTTAATAAATTAGATTTTAAATGAGCGATTTACTTTTCAAAACGTTACTAATTTTGTATAACTTTAATTACAAATAAATTTGATGATTTCTGGATTATTTTTCAATATCTCAACATTATTGGAAAGCTTTAACCAACCTCAAACGTGGTACACTATTATATACAAGGTGGTCCACTCTAGCTGTGCCATTTTATTTACTTTAACGATAGTTCTATGTTCTATGGTAATATAGGAGAATGCAGATTGTGTGTAGTGTTAGGATCTAGTTTCAAGAATCGAATTCGAGTGAAGCACCCTGTAGACAATTTTCTTACACAAAAATGTGAAAACATCCAGAATGATTCACAATATATACATTTCGTTTCTGCGAATTCAATGTGATATTTCTACAATATCTTCGGAAATGTTGGATTAGGTCCTACATTGTGTCAGACAGTGTATTTTATCACAGTTAAAAAAAAAATGAACAACACACATAATGAGAGGGAGCTTAGGAATCACGTAGAAGTACAATATTTGCCACTGTTATGTTGCGTAGAAATAAAAAAAAGTTGTGAGGTTTTTCTGTACACTATTTACAAATATTTTCTCATCTAATTTTTCGACAAATAATGGTTCCAATCAAATCTTATTGATATGTATAAAAATAGATAAAAGTTTCGGTTAAATATGAGTCCATTTAAATGATAAAAAAAATATGTCGAGTGTTGAAAATTAATTTTATTTGTAATTTATTTCTAAATTAATATTTACTATACTGGGTGTAACACAAGGTGTCGAAAGTGAAGGAGACATTTTTTCAATTCCAGATGATGAAAGTGTCATGTTTCTAAATGTCATGGGAACAAAAAAATATATTGCAACAAAATTTAACTTGCATGACATTTTTCTTCTCTGACATCTTGTTTTAAACAAGGACTCCAATGACAAATATACGGGTTTATACAGGGTGTTTGGAAGGTATGGCATTTTAAAAACGCGATTTTTTTTTTAAATTTGAATATAGTGTAGGTATCTCCAAAACTATCCACTTGTGGACTCATGTTTATATAACCATTTTGGATTAAAATTACTCAAAACATCTCCAGTTAAAGTTTGTGTACGTACTTAAATAACACCCTGTACTTATATAAAAATATTGTTAAATTTGTACTAGGAAAACGCTCCTGCATATTAGACATGTGTGTTACAACCGACTTAAAAATTTGACAAATTATTTAGAAAGACAGTATTAGAGGGAATATTACAGTGAGCTGGCTTCGAATTTCAATTAACCTATAATTTCGACTACAAAATTGTAAAAAATATTTTTGCGCGAGACCGTTACACTTCCATTCCACCATTTACGTGACCATCGCCGGGTGTCGAATCCCGACGACTACAACTTTAAAAAATTCATCAACTTTTCACGTTCCTCAGCCTCAGCGCACAAATCCGCACCCTTCACATCTCCGTGTTGTCCTCGGATGTCTCCTCGTTCTCCGGTTCTTCCGGTAGGGTGTATACGCCCGTCATGACGGGCCCCTCCAGCACTTCCGGTATCTTAGCGGGCACCGGAACCAGCTCGTGGGTCATGCCGACGTCCACGATTGAGGTGGGAGTCCCGGTGCTCAGCAGGGTCTCCTCCGTCAAGTTCCTGTGGTAGAAGGTGCTGTTTTTCTGCGGGTTGAACTGTCATGAGGTCATATTGTAGGGGTCGCTAACGTTTAGGTCGTCGGGGAAGCTGGTGGAGTTGAGCTTGGGGATGGTCTTCTCCTGGTGCTTTAATCTGCGAGGTTAATCGATTTATATGGGGTGGGGACGGTACATCGTGTCACACAGAGCGCTATGTAGCTATGTTCGCTACTTTATACACGTTAACACTGTCAGTATTATGATCATTTACAACGGTCAGTGTATTTGCGATGTGTATTAAAATTTAAAATCATCGTTTTGTGCTAAGGCCACACAAA